TTGGTATGTACAGTTTAAAAACCATTCAACATCTAATTGGAAACTGAATAAGACTAATTGTACAGAGTAAACAAAAAATTGCAAGTCAATAACATGTGATGAGCATGTTGTTCTCTTGTGAAAGTTTAGCTATATATAATCTAAAACAAGTTGCTAAATGTATATACAGTCTAAAGCACAACTCCACTCAAGAATTTACTGTCAAAGACTGTTTAAAAGACCAAAGGCATAGAGTACGAGAAGATTTTTATTTGCATAACTTTATATTACCACAAGGTAAAATATCCAAAGCATTTAGGAGTCTAGGCACTCTTCCTTCATCAAAGCTTAAAAGCAACATGAACTGAAATAGTGGGACTCATAGGTAACCCTATATTATTGGCCTTGAAATACTATTATCTGTATCTCTGCAATCTCATAATCCTCTTTTGACCAATTTTTTAGAGTCCCACTAATTAGGCTCACGTTGCTTGAAATCCACGATAAAGGGAGAGTGCCTAGAGCCCCAAAACATGTTTGCTGTTTTACCTTGTATTAATCCAATGTGAAGCAAATAAAGATATTCTTGAAGTCTGCGTCTGTTGTTGTGGTGCACTCAGATCCAGCACCGTACACATTTTCTAAGCAGTAAACCTGACAGAGGTTCTAATCTTTCAGGCAACCTTCCAGCTTCTACAATCAGCTGCAATGTAATGAGACTGGCCAAACACCACCCAAGCTGGATTGGTCCTCCACACAGGAGGCACCTTATTTAAACCTCATCAGCCTGTGTCCCTGTGCTTGCTGTTCCTGGTTTCCTGTCTGTTTCCATCTCTGACACAGATATGCAGACCTTTGCCATTTACCTGGATTACTCTTTGGATTGCCTCTTAAGCATGACCTTGAATTGCTTACTGGTCTATGCTTGGTCACTGCCTGCCCTGACCCTTGAAATGTCTATTATTATATTTGTTTGTTACTTGCTCTGATGTCAGAATTGTTTTCAGACTTTGCTCACTACATGTCTTGACCTTGGACTGCCCCATGATCGCTGCTACCAGAAGATTTGCAGATTTTTCTGTTGACAAAGTTTGCTTGAAATAAAAGTTCTACTGAATTAATGTGATCATCTGTATGACTTATCTCTCTAAATTATTATATGTGTTTTGGGTTTTACTGGTCCTTGTCCCTTTGCATATATTACGCATTCATCAGCGGAAACTTCTGTCCTTTATCTGAGGCTCCACACGCCCTAGAATTAATAAAAGGATTTTATTTGCCTGTAGGACCGAGGGTGGGCTGTCTGTCCCGAATCTTCATGCTCACTACCTAGCGGTGAATATTGCTCCACTAGTCCATCTTCACGTGTCTCGCAATATTCCCCTATGGGCTACTGTGGATCTGATGGACTCCCATCTGATGCCACTTTCCTTTTTGCCATGCCTTCCCCCTGTTTGTCGCCCTTCGCCTCTTAGTCCGATATTAGCACACACGCTTTTGCTTTGGGACTCTGCTGGTCTAATTTCTGCTTACTTATGTTTGAAGCATCTACTCTACAATCCATTGTTTCCCCGGACCTTGACAATCCTGGGAAGTTTGGCCGGTTCATGGCTTCTATGACGTGCACTCCTTGCTCTCTCCTACTTGGATACTTACTTTTGAGACTCTGCGTTCTTCTTATGACATCCCATTGAGGGAGCATTTTGGCTACCTTCAACTCCGTCACTTTCTTAATACATTATTACAAGCCCATTCGGGACCCTATATGCTGACTCCCTTTGAACGTCTTTGCAGACACAGGCCTCATGCACCAGGATTGATCTCTCTTGTCTACTCCACTATTATTTCTTATAGGACACCCCCGGTTCGCTGTTATCATCAGCATTGGCAATTGGAACTCGGGGGGTTGTCTAGATCAGCAAGACTGGCAGATCATGACTCAAGCATTGTCTAAATGTTCGAGGAATGTTATTATTTTAGAAAATGCCTTTAAATGTCCTTTACAGATGGTTTTATATGCCTACCCGGCTGGGTCATTTTATCCCCTCATATTCTCCGACTTGCTTTCGGGGTTGTCAACAAATAGGCACCATGGCTCATATTTGGTGGACTTTCCCCAAGGTGTACAGACTATGGATTAGGATCTATGCCCTTCTCCGCACTATGTTACACACAGATATTAAGCGCAACCTATACAAGGCACTATTATTTAAACCATTATTAGGCCTACTTTGGTAGCTGACATCGCATCCATTTATGGCTACCAAATTAACGATCACGAGAGCTTGGAAAACCCCTCTTCTTAGTTTTGAGGCCGTTAAGAACTGGATGAATTTTATAATGGTTGATGAGAAGCTAACGGCCATGCTGTTAGACACCCACCAAAAGGTTTTGCAGATCTGGCTCCCCTGGATTGATGTGGCCCAACCGTTTAGATTTGACCTGACCCTTCTGTCGATATAAGAAAAGTATGGGTGCTGCCATTGCAACATCTGAACATACTAGGTGCCTATCTATGTCTGACTTTAGTATGTTTCATTCACAGTCCTGGGATACGCTTGCTGTAATGAGTGTCAGAAAAATGTCATATTTGCTTATCTCTATACTTGTTCTGGATCAGCAGTTCAGACAGCACTGATGTCGAACCACCAGAAAGTCCGTCAGAGAACTACTATACTCAAAAAAGAAGTTCATTAATGGCAGCCTCCATTATTATTTCATGACAGTATAACTTAAATTCACACTGCCAATTGACAACAATGCATTTAACCAAAATGGCAAAATTTCACCAAAATCTTCCTATTTCCTCTGAAGTTTTAAGAAAATTTAAATTTTTACTTGCCTTCTTCCCTGATAATGAGACCATTAAAAGGATTTACTTTCTTTTTACTAGTTCCTGAACCTTGCCATTCCTCTGATAGAGCACCCAATATTTTCCCTTAATATGACTTAAAGCTTAATTGTATCTATTACAGGCTGCACACACTGCCCCTTACCTCATGTGACAGTGTTCATACCTTGAGATTGGGCAAGGCATTGTGGGAAGGCAGGAAATGTGTCATAGAACAATGGGGAAGAGAATAAATCCTCTTAAAGTTCCCATATACTAAAGTGAACCTGTTACTTTATCCAGTATGGTGGAAAGGTCATCAGCTCCCTAAAAACACTCAATGGCAGGTTAGAAACTAAAGTTATCTTTAGATTTATTGCAATAAGGCAAATCTGGTAAGTCAAAGATATGATAAAATGAGCGTGGAACACAGAACAACAAAACTGCAGACACTTAGCTGCTCCGGCTGAGCTTTGGCTGGTGCCTCAGGCCTAATGAGCAACAGCTGGCTTGCTACGCTAAGCTAATAAAAGTCCCAAAAACAAGACCAGTGCTGAATTCTGCCTGGATAATGTGCCATGATGGAAAATTAAAACAACTGTAAGAATCACTCTGAGAAAATAATTATGAAAAGCCTAGAATAATGCACAGAATTACATAATATTAAAGATATAGATTAAAGGGAAAAAAAAAAAGTTAATGTGTTAAACCCCAAAAGATGTAACGCTGACTGCATTATATGTGTGTGAAAACTTCTCAATATGTAATTTGTAAAAAATAATTCAACATGGGGTAGACAAATGCACCCGTTATAAACACAGGTCCTTTATAGTGCTACACAATGTTTGCTCATTGCTGCTCCTTCTCACAAGGCAAATTCAGGAGTCAACTTACTAATTAAAAATAATGTGCCTCCAGTGTGGTTGATATCATGTCTTCTCAGCTGTTATAGCCTAACTTGTGGGGAGGTGCAGCATGGTGTGGGGGCAGTAATCACACAGTCCGATTGCAATAAATGTGAAACTTCTATTGAGCAGAATGCCAAAGATACAAACACCCTAGCCAGTGAGTGCTGCTTAGGGAATCACTCACAGTTCAGTGCAGTTCAAGAAGTGGCAGAGGAGAGATGCCGGCAGTGTATTTTTAGAGATAGGAGTACAGCCTAGTCTTTAACCTTAACCAATGGGCAGTACAGTGGATAAATGGTTAGCACTTCCACCTGGCAGTACTAGAGTCATTGGTTCGAATCACAACCACGGCACCACCTGCCTGGAGGTTGCATGTTCTCCCTGTGTCTGCGTGGGTTTTCCCCCAGGTATTCCGGTTTCCTCCCACACTCCAAAGACATGCTGGTAGGTGAATTGTCTCCTGTCTAAATTGGCCCTAGTATGTGTATGTATTGACTGTGAGTTAGGAACCTTAGATTGTACACCCCTTGAGGATTAGGGACTGATGTGAATGTACAACATATATGTGTAAAGCGCTGTGTAAATTGACGGCGCTACATAAGTACCTGAAATAAATAAATAAAAATAACCTGTCCCTTCTCATCTTTATTCTTTTCTACTGCTAACTAGTTTCCCTAGCAAGTGGGGTCTCTCTCCCTATCCTAGCCACTTACAGAAAAGTGCACCAATGCTCTGGGGCAGAGATTTATATAGACCCTGCTAAGCCAAGATGGCCACCAATGGTCACATTGCTGCAGCATAATCAACTGAAATGGTGCTCCATTGATCCAGGAAACCATAGAAAGCTGTGTTTTCTTTAACTTCCTCTCCAGGCTGTGGTATCACTAAGGTTCAGAGCCACCCACAGTGGAGAAAACATACTGCACCTGCCTACAAACTCTAGCCATTTTTTTCTGTGTGCAATTTTTTTCTTATGTTTTATTTTGTTGTAAAAAAGAAGTACAAATACAGTGTACAAGCAGATACCCAAAAACTGAGTAACCAAGGTATCAATGAAATATTGATCATATCAAGGTAATGCAAACAACAAGGTACCATCAGTAACATATGGTCAGTAGCGCAAAGCAATGAGAACAGAAGTGGCCACAGGGCCAGTACAGCAAAGTGACCTTGTTGTCTAACACAGCATAAATCCATCATGGAAGAACTAGCCTTCAAAAAGAAAAGGGATAAAAGAAAAAGAGAGAGAGAGAAGAGAGAGAGAGAGAAAAAAAAAAGAACCCAAAGGAGAAAAGAGAGGGAAGGGAGGGGGTGGAAGGGTTGATAGGAGGTAAGGGAGAGGAGAATAGGAAGGTAGGATAGAGGGGAGTGGGAAAGTGATGCAGGGGGTATCTTGTCTATTCAAGACCTCTTATGTAGCTGCCAAGCTCGCCAAGGAAATCGTTGGGTGTTGGCTATCTGCAAAATTTTTAAGGAGATTTCCCTGTCCCTGTGATAGCATAACAAAAAATAAGTTCATTAGCTGTCACTTGACAGCAAGGCACAGATGGCAACATTATCAGATGTTCTAATACTTTCCAACTTAAAGGATAAGTTCACCTTTTGGACAAAAATAATAAATGCACATTTTTTTGCAGGTAAAAAAGTGTGCATTTATTATTTTTGTCCAAAGGAGCCTGGAAAGCATTGCACCAGTGATCAATAGATCGCTGATGGCATGCAGGTCTCCTGAAGGCCTGTCAGTATATCTGCTTGCAGTACTGGATGTACAGTCAATCAGATATTCTGACAGGAAGCTTCAATGAACTACCATGGCGCTCCACAGTTCTGTGGTAGTTCATTGAAAACTACAAGCCGAGAGCTGTTAGGACTTGCAGTTCATTTATTCACGGAAGTCCATGAATGAGTGACACGGCCGTGTGGGCAAAGCCCTGCATGGCTGCGCTGTTTTGAAATCTGACAAATAGTAGTTTTCAGAGGGAGGAGAGGTGGTGGGCGCGGCTGTAGCTATGGGAACATGTTACATGTTCCACCCTAAAAATGGGTGGAACATGTAACATGTTCCCAAAGGTGAACTTATCCTTTAACTAAATATGTGGGTTTGCCTGTGGAGAGATTTTTCCTAACTTCCTGTCTTGATAGAAAGTTAATCTCCAAAACAAGACAAAGAAAAGAATAAAAACCTTAAAGAGGTTCTGACCCTTTCCAACTGTGTGATCACTATGACAGCCCTTGATACTGATCAGAAGGCCTGGTTTATTTATTTTTTATTTTATTTATTTATTTCAGGTACTTATATAGTGCTGTCAATTTACGCAGCGCTTTACATATATATTGTACATTCACATCAGTCCCTAACCCTCAAGGGGCATACAATCTAAGGTCCCTACCTCACATTCATACATACACATACTAGGGCCAATTTAGACAGGAGCCAATTAACCTACCAGCATGTCTTTGGAGTGTGGGAGGAAACCGGAGTACCCAGAGGAAACCCACGCAGGCACAGGGAGAACATGCAAATTCCAGGCAGGTGGTGCCGTGGCTGGGATTCGAACCAACGACCCTAGTACTGCCAGGCGGAAGTGCTGACCATTTATAAAGCAAACCTGCCCACTAGCTGTTATTCAGCCTCGCACAAAGCAGAGTACATTGCCAGCCAACAGCAACTGTTAAAGTTAACCCCTTAATTATTATTATTATTATACAGTATTTATAAAGCGCCAATAGTTCGCTCAGCGCTGTACATTACAAAGGGGGACAGAACATGTGACAGAACAATACCAATACAATGCAAAACATGAGGGGATCAAGGGCCCTGCTCTTTCGAGCTTACAATCTAGGAGGGAGGGGATGGTGGCACAGGAAGAGATAGCTGTGGGGGATGGAGTGGTAGGAAGAGTGGAGGAGGTCGGCAAGTTAGCAGGGGGTGGGGTAGGCTTCCCTGAAGAGATGGGTTTTCAGGGTGCGCCTAAAGGAAAGGAGAGTAGGTGATAATCTGATGGGTTGGGGCAGGGAGTTCCAGAGGATGGGTGACACCCTGGAGAAGTCCTGGAGGCGGGCATGGGAGGAGGAGACCAGGGAACTAGAGAGAAGGAGGTCTTGTGAGGAGCGGAGTGTGCGTGCTGGGCGTACTTGGATATTAGGTCAGAGATGTAGTACGGGGCAGTATGGTGGACAGCTTTGTACGTCAGCGTTAGGATTTTGAATTTGATCCGTTGCGCAATCGGAAGCCAGTGGAGGGATTGGCAGAGGGGGGTGGCGGAGACAGAGCGGTTGGAAAGGTGAATGAGTCTGGCAGCCGTATTCAGGATCGACTGAAGCGGGGATAGCCAGCGGCGAGGCAGGCCAGTGAGGAGGGAGTTGCAGTAGTCGAGTCGTGAATGAGGAGCATATGCATACTGTATGTGGGGCCTCTTCTTCTTCTGTAGGGCCATGTATATATACTGTAAACAAAAAAAGCATGCATTAAAAAAGTTAGTTAGATCAGGGTTTGATCTGGGTGAGTGTCAGGTTTAGAGTTAGTTTCAAGGGTAGGTTTAAAAGCCATGCTTAAAGTCAAAGGTCATAGTCAAAAAAACATTTTTAAACTTACTACCAGTGTCAGTTAGTGTCAGTGTGTTTTAAGTAGGATTAAAACAATTGAGTACTGACGCGATACTTTTTTTATTTGCACTAACATACAATTTTGAGGACAAGCTTTCGGGGTATGTCCCCTTCTTCAAGGTCCAAGCAGTACCTTGAAGTACTGCCTGGACCTTGAAGAAGGGGACATACCCTGAAAGCTTGTCCTCAAAATTGTATGTTAGTGCAAATAAAAAAAGTATCACGTCAGTACTCAATTGTTTCTGTCGCAAGTGCACTAATATGGCTACAATCACCTCAAGCAGTCAGGATTAAAAAATAGCAAAATGTGCATTATTGTTTCTGGACACTACTACGAGTGCAAACAACAAATTATATATATATATATATATATATATATATATATATATATATATACACACACACATACACATTTGGTATCGCTGCAGGAGAATATGATAAAGCGAACTTAGTCCTGGAAGTGACGAAACGCGTCAAGAGAAGTGACGTCGGACGCACAGGAGAGGAACCAGAAGTGGCATATCGGCCATCTTGCACACTGGAATGACACATGCCAAACAATCCTGGAGGCTGCTCAGTGACCCTAGAGGTTTGAGGGCATGGGAATAAAGCATTTTAATATTTATTTGATGTAAGCAGATAATAAAGTATATGTATATTAATCCCATAACGGAATTACACGATATCCTCTTTATATATCATTCGCATGGAGCATGGGTACTATAAGTACTATGGAGTACTTCCTAAAAAGCCATGATGACATCTAGGAGAAGGTGGTTGATGACATCTTAAGGAGAGTTATTCAGGCTTGGAAGAAACTTGTGGGAGCGTGATATTTATTTCTGCAGTACTATTAAGGCGGTTTTTGGTTCTTTTTTGGTAAGGGAATTTACGCCTTACACTGTAGAAGTGTACATTGAATGGTCACTTGGATTATTTTACTCACAGAGTGACGCACTATCACGGTTATTACACTGTGTTCACTTTTCACTTTAAATGTCACTTTTTTTGAAGTTGCACAGTGCATATGGTTTATGGGTATTTAATTGAGTTTTTATAAAGTTAATGCACTATATGAGTTTTTTTTTTTGAGGTTCATATTTTCCTTTGGGAGCCAATAGGAGGGCTCGATATTTAAGGATCTGGAAATTTCCATTATTGGAATCAAAGATTGGAGTGACTTTATTTTGGACACGAGTGACTTTTTATATTTTGTTTATGTTTTTGGACATATAATTTATTTGTGGGTTCATTTATTGCATGTATATATCGTGTTTGGTTTTCCATTGTATGAAAATTTGTTCCACAATTTTAGGGATATTTTACATAACATATTGGAGTTATAGTGAGTTAAATTGCACTTTCAAGGGTGAAAGTTAGATCTAGGATGTAGTTGATTTATATTAATTTTTTTGTGTTTGATACTGTAGTTTTAGATCAATAGCAAAAAATGGCCTGGTCAGGAAGGGGGGTAAATCTTCCAGAGGGCAAGTGGTTAAAGCCAGCAGTAGTACCCCTGATGAAGTTACGTGACCCATGACCCAGTAACGTGTAGGGTGGAGCCTGTGGAAAGAGAACAGAAAGTAGAATATATACAGTAGTAGTATCCCTACATTGTTTGTGATATGCTGGCTTTAATTTTTAACATGTGAGTGCATTTTATAATAACAAAGTGCATGAATCTTGATAGTACACAATTCAAAGCTTTTCCTCCCCCTCTTTTTTAACATGTTTTTGGAGCAAGTCTTTGTTAGTTTGCATAAGAATCTGTCTTAAAGGGACAAAGATGACAATTTTTCCAGGAGGAGCTCTATGAGAGACAAAGGCATCCAAGTGAACAGGAGGAGTGAATACCCCTACTGAAAATATAAAAATATTTTCATTTATAGTTTTTTTTTTTTTTTTTTTTTACTTAAATTACTGGTAGCAAGTAAGAGATTATTTTAGGCAGCACAGCACTTACACATATCTCTGATTTCTAAATACTGTAAGTGGCATGTCATTTTAACAATTAAGGCTAAACAAAAAAATCAAAGATGTCACCTGGTATCTCCTGCTGGTTTGTTGACATTTAGCAGCTGTCCAGGAATCTGTCATTTGCAGCAAAGTAGCAGTAATAGAATCAGCGGCAGTAGTAGCATGTAAAGCAGCAGGATTAGTAGCAGGTTATCATGGGGTCATTCATCTTTATTGATGATGGATCTACATCAATGGATGACATAAATGACATTGGATTTTTTAAAAAAGAAATGTAATGATGTCTGTGTGTACTGTTTTACAAACCCAAGGTTGGGGGGGGGGTTATGAATAGCTGGGGAACCCTTATCTTAAATGGGGATGCAATGGAGGTCAGAAACACTAGATTTTTGAGAAATAGGGAGAGAAAACCTGTAAAAGAACATTTGTTACATGAAACTAAATTGAAAGCATGCATTTCGATGTATTTAAGGTAGCTTATCAGCATAATTGATTAGTGAGTTCCTGTGACCAAGCAGAGGGTCTGAAGGTCACCAAGCAGAGGGTCTGAAGGTCTCAGCAGGGAGTACAGGATTTGCTGAATTTTGTACCAGGATGGTCAGACACTTTGGCACCGAGAGATGCTAGCTGAGATATCTGACCGCATTAAAAGTTCCAGACAACAAAGAAAAGGGTCAGACTGTGGAGAGCATACTTCAGTGATGGACACAGGGGAACCAAGTCTGGAGGTCTCACTAGAAGGGGGTTGAGGAGTGTTGCATGGACTACTTCACCCTGAGGTTCCGTGAACTACTTCTCCTTGCCATGTATGTGTGGTCCTGAAATTGTGGCCAGACACACTGCCCTCTGAGGGCTTGTGATTGGCCTGGGAAGGACTTGTGCCCTCTGTCCTCTGGACCTTCTCTGCCACCCTACCTGGACCCATTTAGTTGATGTTATTGTTGCCTCGTGAGTCAGCTAACTTTGCTGTGCCAGGATCCTAGCTGTGCCAGGATCCCGGACCTGTGTGCTGGACTTTACCCTCACTTTGTTATACCTGCTGTACTAAATCGCTGCCCTGTGCCCCTGGACTTTGCTGTACTGGATTGTGGCCTGGAACCCACTGTGCCTGAACTGTTGCCCTGTGACTGTGGACTAAGTCTTTGCTGTACAAGATTGTTGCCTGTCCCTTGTGCCTGAACTGTTGCCCTGAGACCCTGGACTGCCATTGTGGCCTGCTACTCACTGTGCCCAGATT